GGGTACAGTTTATTCTTGTATTTTTATTTATTAGCTAGTGGCTCGTTGCAGGAAGATTCCTGCAATAGGGCTTCCTGCTGCCTTTGCTGCCTGCCAGTCGCTGCCCTGCCTGCTTCCCTCCCTGTCCCCCAGCCTGCTTGCTTCCCTTTCTTCTCTCCCTCCCCACCCCCTTCCTTGCTTCTCCGCAGCTTCGCTCCCTCCTGCAGCACTTAGCTTCTGTCTTCAGTCTTCGCTCTGGCCTGCATATACAAATTAACCACCATCTTTTTTGGGGGTTAATTTGCATAGTCATTCTGATTGGCTTGTGGGTGTAGTGAAGGTGCGGTCAATTTGCATGTTTCTCTTTTATTAGGTAGATTTATTATTTTCCCTATGAACAGTTGTAAACTTACTTTTGTCTCACCTTGTACACTAATAGCCCAGTATAGGAGAAAAGCAGTAACTGTTCCAAACAGATTTCTTTTTCAAAACATGTACTGATGGCAGAGAAGTACCAAGCACTCAAATAAACAATAGGAAACAACCGAATAAAGCAAAAAACACAAACCCATTGGCATTTTAAATGTGAATGATCTAGTAAAAGGATAATATCAAATGAACAGTGAGGTGGCACAGGATGGCCTTCCCCCAATTGGAAAGTGGTGAACGGAAGTGACATCAAAAGACGTGGAAGAGCCAAAACTGGTTTGGCTCAGCGGATAGAGCGTCAGCCTGCGGACTGAAAGGTCCAGGGTTCGATTCCGGTCAAGAGCATGTACCTTGGTTGTGAGCACATCCCCAGTAGGGGATGTGCAAGAGGCAGCTGATCGATGATTCTCTCTCATGGATGTTTCTAACTCTCTATCCCTCTCTGCAAAAAAATCAATAAGATATATTTTTTTAAAAAAGACGTGGAAGAAAAATCAATGGCATCTACCATGAGCTCAGTGGCAGAAAATTCACTTAAAGATCGATGCATGTAGCTTTACTTACAATCTGTGTTTGGATAAATATTTTGATCTCACACCCAGCCTTGTCAACAGTGCTTTTAATTGGTGCTGACCCGGAACTGCTGCTGCCCCTTGAGCTCAGCACACACGGCCCGAAGCAATGTCTGTGTGGCTTCTCACATTGCAGACGAATCACGAGAATTTTCTCTTCATGTCACACAGGGTTTTACAAAGCATCATACTTTAAAAAGTTATTAGCTTGCAAGAACATGTAATAATTAACTTCAAAATGCAATGGATATTTAATCAACTTATCCGGCCCACAGGTAAAGCTAGCAATGAAACTGCTGGTTCGCAATGTGTGAAGATGGATCAGAATAAGACGCAGCCTGCTGGGCTGCATCAGTCACGTAGATTGTGGTTCAGTAGCTTGAGTCAATGCTTACGAATGAGTAGGTTTCAGATGAAAAGGGGCATTTCTGTCTTATTTTGGAAATTCAGAAGACCTGACAACACCGGGCCTGCACTTTCTCTCACAATGGGATGAAGCACTGTCCCTTTTAGAACAGAGCATACAGTCTCTTCTACGAGTTCTAGACCAAATGGTGTCAAGAGAGGCATCACCGGAAACCAATGCCACTAGACTTTCATCTTGGACTTAAAAGTCTTCAGAACTGGCAGAAAAGAGATGTCTTGCGTAAGTCACTCAGACTATGGCATTTTGTTACGGCAGCTGAAGCTGATTAACACACAACTCAAGCTCCAGATGTGAGAGCTGTCAGAGAATTCCGCCCCTGCTCTCCCCTCCACATGCACTGGCCTGCCATTTCGCCAAGCTCTGGTTCCGACTGCAGGATCCCTTCTGAGCCGGCTGCCTCTCTAACTGGAACTTGCATCTTATCTCCACGCGAGTGGACTTTAGCAGCCACCCCATGCCTGTAAGGATGCTCTGTGTGCAAGTCAGAATGGGACCCCACTACTCTCGCCATGAAGCCCTCGCTGCCATCGTGGCTCAGACTCTTGTTCTCTTAGCACTTTGTTTCCTGTAGGAAACAAAGTGAGCGTAATGAGGATGGACCCACGGAGGAGTCCCAGCACATGAAAGGACCCCGAAGCCATACAGACGGTAACAAAGTGCTATACGAGAGGTGTGAATAGAATGCAACATGGCTACCAGGGAATTAAACATATATTCCTACTGGAGGGCGCTAGGCGGGTCTCCTGGAGGAGACATCAAATTGGAAGATGGGCCAAAACCGGTTTGGCTCAGTGGTAGAGCGTCGGTCTGCGGACCGAAAGGTCCCAGGTTCGATTCCGGTCAAGGGCATGTACATTGGTTGGGGGCACATCCCCGGTAGGGGGTGTGCAAGAGGCAACTGGTCGGTGATTTTCTCTCATCGACATTTCTAGCTCTCTATCCCTCTCTCCTCCTCTCTGTAAAAAATCAATAAAATATATTTTAAAAAAACTTTCTTAAAAAAAAAATTGGAAGATGGGACTAGCCTAAGACTAATGGGCATGGAGCAAGGAGGGACCTTGAAGCAAACTTGTCCTTGAACCTATGAGTTGTGTGTCCCCAGTGCACATTTCTAGATAAATGAGTGAACGGGATCAGTGAGAAAGATGGCACCAGAAGCAAGCACTTAAGGTCTGTAAATCAGGCTTCTGATGCAGAGATCTGCAGCTAGACCTGTTCTAAATCCTAACAACCACCAAGAACCTTTCTGCGTTTAATTTTAAATAAGCACAAAAGCTAATAAATAATAAATAAGCACAAAAGCTAATAAAAAATGTCCACCTGATATAACCGTGTGTGATTTATGATGATGTCATGGGGTGGAGGATACAACTCCCACCCGAAGTGTGAGCCGTTTGATTCGTTGTCATTTCAGCCATGATGTCGATATATAAGCTATATCGGGCTAATAGATGTCTTTAAAAAGGAGAGTCTTTCAACATGCGTTATAAGAAGTTGGCTTTTTGGAACTCACGGGTCCATTCTTTTTTTAAATTTAATTTTATTGATTTTTAGAGAGAGGGAGGAAAGGAGGGGAGACAGGGAGAGGGAGAGAGAGAGGAACGACAAATAGTCGTTCAACTCATTTATGCATTCATTGGTTGCTTCTTGTATGTGCCCTGACGAGGATTGAACCCACAACCTTGGCATATCAGGACGATGCTCTAACCAACTGAGCTTCCCAACAGGGCCCACAGGTCCATTCTTTAGATCATATGCCGCAGATTGCTTTCACAGAATTATATATTAATATATATACTAGAGGCCCGATGCACGAAATTTCGTGCAAGAATAGGCCTTCCTTCCCCCCCGGCTGCTGGCACCGACTTTCCTCCGACACCCCCCGGGACCTGGGCTTTGCTCTGGCCGCAGCTGGCAGGCGCCTGGGACCTGGGCTGCTTCACTCCGGCCCTGGCTCGTCCGGAATGACTCTGGAAGGACGTTCAGTCTAATTAGCATCTTACCCTTTAAAAAAAATATATATGGTATCTTCTGCTTCACATGTCCTTCTTCTTTTTTTTTTTTTTTAAACATCTGCTCACTGCACAATCACATTGAAACAACATTATGTCACCACAACTCTAGGCCTTCTTTACTTTATTCTCTCATTTCTTGAGGCCACAATCCTCTCCTATTTGAGTCATTTTAATCTGATGCGTTTAAAAAAATGTGGCTGGAATAATTGTCAATTAATTTCTTTCCAGAAAAATATGTGGGTAGGGATATCTGAACATCTATTTTATCCTCACACACAAACAGGGATTCAATGAGGTATGAGATTCTAGGAAGATAATTCTGTATTTCCAGACCTCTGGGAACACTGCTCTGTCACTTTCTAGAAGTTAGCACTGCCGATGAGAGCTTTGCTTCCATCGGATCTGCTCCCCTTTTCAGGCAACCTGCTTGTTTATTGTTGTCCCCCGCCTCCAAATTAATTTTATCTTAGAATTCAGATATTTCATCAGGATACAGCAGCTGGGTTTGCTTTGTTTTAATCATAATATCTTGTTGTGGGAGAGACTTTTCAAACTGAAGACTTGTTTTCTAGATCTTAAATAAAAGCCACCTTTATTTATAAGCAGGGATCTTACTCCAATCATGGAATAAGTCTTTCCCTGTCACGGCAGAGTACAGAACTGAATAATTCTACTTCACAACTATCTCACAAAATTCGGGCCCAAGGCCCACATCTTATTTTTTATCCTTATTTATTTATTTATTTATTTATTTATTTATTTTGCCTTAAAATTTAAAAGGCAACAAGTAGCACCAGGAATTCATGATTTTTTTTTCTTCCACTCTCCAGTGGAGTGCGTGTAGATGTTTTTCGGTTTAACTTGTGGAGGGACTGTTAATGCTTGCTACTTAGAAGCTCTAAGAATACACCAGCAGACCACAGAGGAGTTTAATACTTTAAGACGCTGGTGATTTTGTGCCCACTTTCTCGCATGCAGTGAGCTCGGCGAGCAGCTGGGGGATGGGGGGGGGGGCTTTCCACGCCCGCTGTCCGCTCCTGGGGGGAGCAAACATCCCGGAGCGCCAGGGCTGAACCCAGGCAGACAGGAGTGCCACCCCGGCGGCGGCGGCGGGAGCTCAAGTTATTTCTCCAAAGGGAACAAGCCACACCTAACCCAGGACTCGGCTATTCTTCTGGGACCGGAATAAGGGCGTTGCGGGGAAGCTAAACGGGCTCACAGTAACACCCTCTTTGTGTGTTCTCATAGTGCAGCCTGATCACACCGGTTTCGGAAAGGAGACGCTCCAGCCAGCCTCCCCTGCGGATCCTAGTGTGGCGACGGGTCACTCCAGGGGAGACAATTCTCGGAGGCGCCCATTCATTCCTAATATAAGGGAGCGACGCGCCCGCGCCGCGCGGTGCAGAGAAGAGCACCGTTACCCAAGTCCACATTGTCAGGGCAGGAATCCTGCCCGCAGGACTGGAGACCGACACACCCATCTGTATCCCGCGTCATCGCCCCCCGGGGCGGGGATGCCGCCGCCGCGAGCGCCCCGTCCCCCCTTCTCCCCGCCGCCCGCCCCGCGCCGGCACCTACCCAGCAGCAGCAGCCGGTGCGTCTGCTGCAGGTCGCGCTTCTGCTCGCGGAGCATGCGGTCGATGCTCCTGCTGACTTTCCTCGCCTCCCGCTCGGCTTCGCGCTCCTCGGCGCGCTGCGGGTCCGGGCGCCGCCGCCACTCCTTCTTCGGGGCGGCCTTGGGGAGCGCGCACCCTGGGCCCCCGCTGGCGCTCGGAGGGGGCGGGGTCCGGGCCGGGGCCGGGACCGATGCTGGGGCCGGGACCGATGCTGGGGCTGGGGCCGGGGCCGGGCCGGGCGGGCCGGCCTCCGGGCCCCCGAAGAGCAGCGGCCGCAGGCTGTAGCACAGACCCATGTGGGCGCCGCGGGCGCGGGGCTCAGGCCGGGCTCCAGGCTCGGGGGCCGCAGGGGGCTGCACGCGGGTCCAGGGCGCGGGCGCGGGGGTCCCGGGCCGGGGACCCCAGCCCCTCACTGCCCGGAAGGGCCATTGTGCATCGTCCGCCGGGCGGGCGCAGGGGTGGCCGCCGCCCGGACCTTGCGGGTCACCTGACAGCGCCCGCGCCGGTCCCCGGGCCCGGCCCCCCTTACCGTAAACACCGCTGCCCCGCGGCCAGAGAGCCGATCCCGTTACCGTAATCACCGCAGCGCCGGCGGGCCGCGCCACTGTAAATGCCGCTGACGGGGCATCTCCATCCTCCTCCCCACCACTCCCTCCCCCTCCCGGCCGGCCCCCCAGGCCGAGTCCAGCGCCGCGCGCGGGTCCGCGGCCCCGCAAACACCGCCCCCCGCGCGGCGCGCAGCTGCGGACGGCGCCGCAGGGGCGGTGGCGGGGCTGCGGCCACCGGGGCTGCCGTGGCGGCGCTTAGGAAAGCCGGCGTGGGTTGGATCTCGGGCCGGTAGTGAATGAGAACCGAGAGGCATGGGAAGGGTCGGACACCAGCTTCCAGAACTTGCATTCCTGCGCGTACCCCCGCAGCGGTCTCTGCGCCCAGCCGCTCCCTACACCAGCTTTTGTCACAGGCGCACGTGGCCCAGCGGGTTTGATCCCCGCCTGGTAGACCTTTGATCTCGACCATGTTCTCCAAATCATTGTCAACAGTTACCGTACTTAACAAAAGAACTGAAAGTGAGCACCCGTGATCATCATGTATTGTTTTTGTTTGCTGAAGCAGGAATATGAAGCTGCACCCGTAGCCCATTTTAAAAAATCTTCAATATGTTTGGTGCAGAGAGCAGAGGTGCGTTCAGGCTGGTGCCCTCTTTCCCGGTCCTCTGGACACAAACCCCCAGAAACCCCCACTTCCCGGTTATCTCGCGCGTCATGGCCATCATCTCACAGAGCTTTTGCAACGGATGAAAATTGCCATCGCTTTTAAGACCTCTCTGCTACAAACCGTGCTCCTTAATTTTAAGCAGAATGACATGGACTAATAGGATGGAAAGTTAAATCTATTTATTTATTTAAAAAACATTTCTTATTTTGTTTTTTCTTTACAGAGAGGAAGGGAGAGGGATAGAGAGCTAGAAACATCGATGAGAGACATCGACCAGCTGCCACCTGCACACTCCCTACCGTGGATGTTCCCACAACCAAGGTACACGCCCTTGACCGGAATCGAACCTGGGACCTTTCAGTCTGCAGGCTGACCCTCTATCCACTGAGCCAAACTGGTTTCGGCTAAATCTATTTAATATAAATCCCATTAGATTGGGCTGTTTAATGAAAAATAGTATGTCACACAGTTACATCGTACCAGAAAGATTGGCTTTCTGTCACTTGAGACCAAGAGTCTTGACTATTCAATTAAATTTTTAAATAAAGAAATTGTAGACCCATAGTTCGTATTCATTTTAAGGTCTTGTTAATAACATACCATACTAGAGATCCGGTGCACAAAAATTTATGTGAGGGGATGGGGAGGGTAGGGAAGGGGGAAAAGGGGAGGAAGAATCCCTCAGCCCAGCCTGCCCTCTCTTATAGTCCCTGAGCCCTTAAGGGATGTCTTACTGAAGGTTCCAGGAGTGGGCCTAAGTCTGGTCTCCCTTTGAGGGAGGCAACCCGCCTGTCAAGGGAAGGTGCCATCCCCATCACCCCGCCGTGCCTGCCTCAGCTTTCACAGCCACCCTCGCTTTGTCCGGAAGAATGTCTGTTCTAATTAGCATATTAAGGCTTTATTATTATAGATAATGTTTTGGACTTAGCATTATCTCCAAATTTTTGCCAAAATTATGCTGTACTTTTAGGTCTTTGAATCTAAAGGAGGATTATAGCAAATCTAACTTGGGAAAACCGAAGTTATTAAAATCTCTGTCATTTTCACTATTCAGTCATGCAGCTATTTGCATTCATCCATTAATTTATTTAATATTTATCAAGCACTCTACAATGTGCTAGGCATTCTGGTTGGTACTGGGTGAGACAAAAGAAAAAGGTCTTTGTGGAATTTATACACTGGTAAGATAGAACTATGTTCAGCCATATAAATGCAAATTGCTACAAAAAAGTGTCCCAGAAAGAAAACTCTAGGTATACATGGCTTTACTGATGAATTCTGTAAGACATACAAGGAAGATAGTAATACCAGTTTTATATAAACTCTTTCAGAATATAGAAGAAGGAAAAACAAAACTCAACGACTTTCCTGAATCCAGCACATCTTTGATACAAAAATTTGACACATGAAATATAAAGCCAGGAAATTTTAGGCCAACATTGCTCCTAAATATCCTATATAATAGAGAGGTACTATGCAAATTGACTGTCACTCCAACATACAAGATGGCTGCCCCATGTGGTCAAAGATAGCTGCCCTCATGCGGACACAGGGGAGGGCAGTTGTGGGTAATCAGGCCTGCAGGGGAGGACAGTTGCGGGGGAAACCAGGCCTGCAGGGGAGGACAGTTGAGGGGACCAGGTCTGCAGGGGAGGGCAACTAGGACAGCCAGGCTGGCAAGGGAGGGCTATTAGGGGTGTCCAGACTGGCAGCCTTTTATGCCATGAAAGTACCAGACAGCCTGCAGCCTCCAGGGACCAGGCAGCATGCACCAAGAAAGGAGGGAGATTCTGGACTAGGTGGTCGCCACTCTCGATGTCACACCGTCACATACGTTCACAGCAACAGAGACAAAACCCCAATAGCGAGGGGTCAGAATGGAAGGTGCGTGACGGAGCTGGCTCTCCTGGCTCGCGAGGCTCCATTGTGCTGTTTTCTAGGCCCCCTGCGCAGGGACCTCCTACTGGGAGCTTGAGGTTGGCCATGGTGGGAGTATTTTTATCATGGAAATGAGCAAATTCTAGGAATGAGGACTTTTTCTTTTTTTCTTTTAAATATATTTTATTATTATTTTTTTTTTACAGAGAGGAAGGGAGAGAGATAGAGAGCTAGAAACATCTATGAGAGAGAGACATCGACCAGCTGCCTCCCGTACACCCCCTACTGGGGATGTGCCCTCAACCAAGGTACATGCCCTTGGTCCCCGGAGTCAAACCTGGGACCCTTCAGTCCGCAGGCCGATGCTCTATCCACTGAGCCAAAAACGGTTTCGGCAGGACTTTTTCTTTTTCTTGGAGATCCTGCTTTACCAGTATACCACTGGGGACAAAGTGAGAAATTCATTGTCTGCCGAGGGAAACAAGGTCTCTGAAGAGAAATTTGGTTGAGTTACAGGGAAGTACATGTTATTCTTTGTAGGCACGAGGTTGGTGGTAGCAATTTGTTGTTTTTTTTTCTTTTTTTTTTTTCATGCTGGAAGTTGCCGTAATGTGGGCTTCCCAGAGGCTGATCCCAAGACAAACATTCGGATGCAAGTGGTTTGTTGGGAAAGTCCTCCCAGAGGAGCCAGTGAGACCAGGAGAAGCAGGAGCCACACACCAGGTGGGACCAGGGGTGCTGGAGCCTGAGCCGCACGGGGCCGAGGTGGTCCTGCCTGGCCGAATGGCGGGCTTTCCTGCGCCTCCGGGATCCCCCACCGGCTCTGGGCTGCTCAGGGGGCCTTAACTCCCGGTACGTCCAGCTCTCAGCACAGCTAGTGGAAACCACTCCAGCACCCAAAGATTGTCTTCTGAGGAAGGCTGCAGAGGCAGAAGCTGCAGACCTATGTCCCGAGGGTCTGGGACAGCAGCCGCGGCACCTCCTCCAGGGTGGCACCTGGAAGAGGAGGTGGTTTTATCCACGCTCCTTGGCTCTTGGCCCATTGTCCTCACTGGTCTGTGCCAAAGGCCCCTCTCCTCTTTTCCTGTTCCAACTCCCATGTGTCCCCATAGGTATCCACTCTCACGTGTTGGAGATCAATACCAGTTACAACATGTGGGCGTGTTTAAAGATTACAGGTTTACATAAAGCAACTGTGTGTGTTTTGCGTGTGGACATACATGTATGTGCAAGGCTGCCTAGACTTAGTTTTATTATTATTATTATTATTATTATTATTATTATTATTATTATTTAAGGAAACCAGAAACACAAATTTTTGCATGAAATGGCACAGTGTTTCAGCAGTTTCAGTCAAATCAGCAGTATCTTCTCTGTGCCTCTCTTTAAAGAAACATTGATTTCCCTGAAATTGGCTATTGATCTTATTGGCATTCATACCAATGTTTTAATTAGTGTTTTCCTTAGAAAGTTATGGGTTTCTCCCTTTGTTTTTTTTTTTTCAGAAGAATGGGGAGGAAAGGGGTAGATATGTTTTATTTCTAAATTGCAGCTTCAAAATGTAGGTGCTTTATAACCACAACATTCCTTTAAGATAATTATAAGATGAAGGAAGAAAGGTAAGTGATAGATCCTCCCTTCCTCCAGTTGACGGACAGATGTAAACCACACCTGCGGCCCGACATTCCTGTGCTCTGAACCACCAATCAGCACCTGCCAAATACTCTAAGCCCCTCCCCCATTCCTAAGTCCCTAGGTCCCTAATCAACAATCAGCTTGTGCTGAGTGCCCTAAGCCCCATCCCCTATCCTTAAAGGCGCTTGTACCCCGGCCCTCGCTCTCTTCCACCCCTCTCTCTGGAAGCAGCCGGCAGGGGTACCCTTCCCTCCAATAAAGTCTGTGTGTGTCCTGCCATCCCGGTCTCCAGTCACTTCTCTATTTAATCTATCAGTAAGGTTTTTTAAAGCTTCCTTTTTTAGTGCATTTCCAGGAATACCATCCCTGCCCTCCCTCTCACAGGCCTTAGGCCTGTGCCCAGGACCCCCTGTCCCATGGAAGCTCGCCTCCCCCACCCCAAGTCTAACTGGGGATGTGGGCTCGTTTAGAGTTTCTTGCTGAGATGAACTGCTCACCCCAGGGCTTCCTTTGCTTTGATAAACCAACTTTTTAAAATAGTCACTTAAAATGGAGACATTGGCTAAAG